TCCTCCCAGATGGTAATAAGGAAAACAGGTCATGAAGAGGATGTGTACAGCATCCCAGAGAATCCTGCAGACCCTGCTCAACCATCGCTTATATGCTATGTCCTGGAAGGAAGTGAGCTATCAATAATCTTTTCTGCCATCCTCACCACTCTCTGCACCGCCTTCCTGTCTGAAGCAAAGCAAAACTGCAAGCCAACAAGGAGCAAGGGAGACAGATCTCTTTCAATTGGATTCTAACCATTTTACTTATGTAATAATTCCTCAAAAAAGTGTCTGTAGACAGAGATCATCAAATCAAGCATAATAATATTTTGGTAGTGATTCACCATCCTAGCAGCTGCATAATATCTTCATCATATTTTTATCTTGATTTATGTCAATAGTTGATAACTTGTGAGAAAATAAATATTTTTCAACAGACAGTCATTGGCTCCATCCACAGGTCTGCAGTACTTTTGAAAACTACAGAGAGATTAATGGCACTATTTGAAGCCAGCTATTAATATAATTTTCTGTGTTAGAGGACTGAACCTAAAGAAACCAAGAAAATGTATGTGAGGCTTTAATCCTTTTACTGATCTATCACGGGAGAGAAACTAATGAACACATATCTGATTTTTTAAAAACTTATTTTTCTAAATTTACTTTCAGTGGGTTCATTTTGTTGAAGAAAATCAAGTTGGGAACGTTTGAAGATTGGCAAAGAAATGCACTGACAGAATATGAAATTTTGAGTAATAGTACACTTGATGGAATTGAAAATCCATTATAAAGCCAGTCATCTAACTCAGAGGTCACCAGAAAAGGTCCAGTTTTGAAACCAAAAATGACATGTGCAGCTTAATTTCTCTCTATATTGAGCAACTTACAAAAGCTAAGTTGGGAGAGTGGAGAGATTCTTCATATATGCTCAGTGCAAACGCTTTGAAGCTTTTTTAGCTACATTCCAGTTCTCCATTCTCCATTCATCCTTGATTTTTAGAATTAATCAAGCAGTCCATTTATATTTAGGAGCTAACAATTGATCCCTCCCTCTCCAGTAATAGAATGATAAGGGTCAGTCATCCCTAAGATGTTGCTATAGAGACTAACTGCCGCCTGGAATCTTCAAAGAAAAATGACCTTGGAGTGAAGATGTCCCTTCCAAATGATCCCTTACAAGAGCTATGAAGACTTTTCGCGATGTTCTTCAGCAACCCGCCACCGCTGCCCTCTTCGAAACAGCAACTCGCAACCATGTTTTGTCTCTTGCACATTCTTCACTCCAATTTGTTTGCCGCTTTCACAAGATGAACCCAAATTAAGATTCAAGGTGAGTTGAAAGAGAGGGAGGGAGGGAGGGAGGGAGGGAAGGAAGGAAAGAAGGAAGGAAGGAAGGAGAAAGAAAAAGAAAGAAAGAAAGAAAGAAAGAAAGAAAGAAAGAAAGAAAGAAAGAAAGAAAAAGAAAGAAAGAAAGAAAGAAAGAAAGAAAGAAAGAAAGAAAGAAAGAAGATCATATGCTGCAAAGCAAAGACCTTACCTCTAACATATTTATTTTTACACTTTCTTAAAGAGGTGTTTTTTAACTGGCACTTACCATGACATCTACTCTGGGAATAGTAGATTTTTGGGGAGTGTAATCACAGCATAATATCAAAATTCCAAATACCTGGCCTGTTCCCCCCAAAAAACTCAACAACCCTTATCGGTATTATTTTCATATTTCAAAGAGAGAGGATCAAAGTTCTGTTTCTTCATATAGTTAATTAAAATTAAATACTCAGTGAACATAACAGGACTACCTTCTAAAGATATGCTTAGTATTTTAGAAGTAAATGTTTAGAATTGGTTGAATTATTTCATATAATCTCATGGGTATACTCCAATAAGTTTGGTTCTTGATGAAATATTGCAGGAATCTATCCACAAAAACTGTTGGCATAGCAATAATTAAATCAGTCAGCATTTAATTATTAATTAATACTAATTATTATTAATACTAATACTTAGTATTCCTAACACCATAATATTAAGCTGTGTTTTGTAATGTCAATCTTAATCTTTCTAATGAAGAATTCCTGACAAATACTATGGGCACAATATCTAAATAGGCTGGGAACCTCCAAACTACCTTTCCAATAAGATTATCTGGAGCAGTTTCTTCCTATATGTAATTTTCTCATTTTTATTACATATATTACCACTACAAGACAAATTATAACAAGGCTTTTAAAATAATCTGGTATGTCAATTGCTGAGATCCAACTGTTGAGAATGCAACCAGCCTTTCATTATATCTTACAGGAAACATGTATCCATGAAAAATAGGACTAGCTAAATTCCAATTCTGCACAGGAAACTTCAGCAATTCTCATCCTGCATAGAATTTTCACAGATGAGATGACTGATATTTTTTAATTAGAAGGGCAAGAACAGAATATCTCTGTTGACATCACTTATAGTTACTCTCCTACCCATCACACTGACTTGTTCTTGGCTTGCTTTTTTATGGTTGAGAATTCAAGCCTTAAAAAGATTTAACATATGCCATGGTTATAAAAGGAGATTTAATTCATACTGAACTATTATGATTGAAAATCTAAGCTTTAAAAATATTTGGCTTATGCCATGGTTGTAAGGGGAGATTTAATTCATGAACTAAAGCACTAAGGGTAAGGAACACCTACATACACTTATAAAATAATGCTAGGCCATTTAAGGATTATTTAACCCAAGTGACCAAGAATGTATACTATTTTTCTCATATCAAAGAACCATGGAAATTGCTCTACTTTTGAAAGGTTTGTTTTTATTTTTGTCTTAAGTTCTCAGTGTGAATCTAATCTGCCTCCACTTTTAGGCCCAAGTCCAATTCTGTTAAATAACTTCACCAGTGTAAGATCCAGCTACATTATTTCCATGGACATATAATATCTTCATCTTGAGAAAGGAAGCTGTCATCCAAACTATGAAATGTTATATTGCTAAATTCTACAAAACAAAAACCAAATACCACTGAAAATATATTTTGGTCACTCCTTTGGGGAACAGTAAAAAATATTTAAAAGGAGTTACCATTTGCTACACAGCATGTTGGGAGAAAGTTGAAGCAAGAAAAATTGGTCACCCTAGAAACCAAACAAATCTCAGAATCCAGATAATTTAACAACATCTATCAGTATTAATGTTACAGTCAAGACGAGATATGAGATACATAATAAACTGCAGATTTTTTTTTTATTTTTTTTTTTTGCTATTCTGAATCAAGCAAGCAGACTGGGAGTCAGGGGAAAAAGCTTTCATGTATAATAAATATCTCAGTTGAGAACATTCAGCATCATTTTTGTAAAACCTAGTATTCTTTGACACTGGCACTTTCCAGATGGGTGGACGACTCTCAGAATCCTCCATTTATCCTTTATTTAGAATTCCAGGAATTGAAATCTATACCTCTGAAGGAAATATAATTTAAACAAAGTTTAATTGGAAAGATGGATGGATGGAAGAACAGGCAGGCAGGCTGAAAATAGCATTATACAAATTCTGTCTCTCTTCTTTACAACTGATATGGCTTCCCCATATGAAAACAAGACCATTGAAGTTATCATGGAGAGCGACGTTATTAAAATAGCAAGTGGCAAAGTCCTGTTCTGAATGTGTAGATAAAGAAATAACCAAATCTGATATTATAACATGTAGAAGGTAAAATAAAAAATAAGTAGAGGGAAACCTGATAGAGCGAAGCATTAGTGACGGTACTTTTAAAATACAGGTATATTTTCTTGAGAGTATCTTTGACAGTTGCTGATGAATTGTAATTTTGAAGATGACAAAGCAAAACTGTGGAAGATAAAGAAGGAAATATATTCAATGTATTTAATGTACATTCCATTAAAATTAAAGAATCACATTCACCTTAGTTTTTAATTGCCTTGCCCCCTTTTGAACTACCTTCTAAGACAATTTCCACATCGGTGTCAGTGAAAAAATCCTCACTAAAACATTGGCTTTGCATCATCTGTAAATAATATGAAAAGGTCAAACTTCTCTGAGTCAAAGCAAATTCAGAGTGTCTACATGTAGTACCCTTGGCAACAAAACAAACAATTTTCCAGGATTTTTTTTTTTAAAAAAAAAAACACTTCCTACTTAAGTCGTCAGCTCTAGGATTTCTTGAAGCACTGTTTGCCAATTCCATGTAGCTTTTTTCCAACATCTGTAAAGGTCATCTAGGTTCTAACAGCAATGTCATACTAGCAAAAATACACAAAATGACTGGGGTGGTTCCTATCTGCTTGTGTTCCCTGAAATATGGGGAAAGGGTGGGGGAGGGGGGGATGCAGAGCTCCTAAGAAGGCTTGCCTGAATTTTCTTTCTGTGTCAGGAAAAAAGAGATAGGAAAAGGCTGGGATTGGACTGTACTAAAGATGAATAAATGCCCTAAGCCGACCATCAAAAGAAGGCTAGTGGGCTACATTTTGCCCCTAGACGATACCTTTTGCATCCCTCCAGTAGATATATACCCAGTAATTCCTTGTCTCTAGGCTGAGGGAATGGAAAAGACTTGCACTATGCCTGAAATACAGCCAAAAGACCATCAATCTAAACAACTAATTCTTTTGCCTGTAACTAAACATAATGCAAAAAAATTGATTCTACAAATTGCATGAATTGGTCTTTATTTAAAATTTTGCTGGAATATCAAAGTAGGACAAAGTTCAATAGTTACAGGTTTGTGCTGTATGTAAATAGAGGATGTGAGATTTACACTTGGATCAATGCACAGAGGTTCAGCAGGGAAATGTATTTCAAACTGTTCTTTCTAAAGTAGCTTGATTGATCAACACCGTTTATTTAACAAAACGAAGTCCTTTTAGCTTTACTGACATTGTTTCCCACATTCGTGCTCTACTACATTGTTTCAGCAGTCTGTAAATGCAACTCACTATTAAAAAAGATCTTGAGGTACTTAACCCAGAGACAATCTTCTTACATGGTTAATAATTATTTTTTCTCAATAGAGGATAGACAGGAGGTCAAAGCCAGAGATGGACTGTGCAAGCAAAGATCAAGAGAGCTGCAGTAATAGTGATAAGAGCTCAGAGAGGTAAGGTTGTAGTGCTAATTGAAGAAGATTCATTTGAGTGTGTTCACTCAATGTATTTCACTAAAACAAAGACTCATTCTCACACTGTATGCAAGTCTGGTTGTAGTATTAACCTTTGTGATATTATTCACAGTTTAATGTGTGGTATAAATCCATCTCTTTTTGTTATTTTATGATTCAGTGTATTGGACAACTCAGTAAATGGGGAATTGAGCAACCTGTTTATGTACTGCATGATATGAGAACATAACCGCTGAACCTGGGATATCTTCCATAGGTTAATTTGAAGCCACTCTTTTGTATGATATCACGTCTATGCAGGGGTATCCAAAGGATATAGTTAAAGTTCAAGTTTTTTCCCCAAAAGGAATACTGATTTAATTATGGGTGGGTGGATGGGGGAAAGTAGGAAATCAATTTCATGCTAATATGACTTGAGGTCAACTAGTCTGTTTCAGCCAACCTACTATACTGGGCACCTGTTGTGGGAAGGAGTGCTAGATATGCTGCCTTGAACTTCTGAATATAAATGTAACAAGCAACAAGTCAATATTGTAATTTTGAATGCAGCAAGAATAGAGGATTTTCCAGGATGACTCTTAATTTTGAAAATACTGCAGGGGAACAAAACAATACTAGACCTTTGCAAATCAAGTTATTAAGGTCTAGGCAAATGAATCAATGAAAACATGAGAAACAATGTGAAACCAAATGCAATACCATAGTAAAAATGAGAAACAAAAGAAACTAAAGTAGACTTATTTGACCATCCCTAGCAATCTCCATATATTGCTTCTTAACAGGTTTATTGGATCTTCTTTTTTAACCTGCTATTATGGAGTATGCATTTTGCAGAAGGGTGGTGCAGCAAAAGTAAAAAAAAAACAAAAACCTTCTGCATTCAAATCTTAGCAGAAGGAGAGAAGCTAAAGGTGGGAGAAACTTTATCCTGGTGATTGATGCCCTGTTTTAATGGCTTTAATATTTCAACCCCCAGAGAAAAAGCAATGAAAATGGAGTGTTTGGTAAGTGCAGACTTCATATCTTATATTTTTTTTTTCAAGTTTTCAAGGGTACAATTCTCTGAGTGCATCTGGCTGGCTTCTGTTAAGTAAGACCATAGTTCCAACTAAACCCAGCCAAGTGACTATAGTATCCAGCATGGTTGTTCTTAAACAATATGCAATTCACTGGCATCTTATTTGTAATCTCCAGAGTCCTATTCCCCATAGGCATTTTTTTTTAGTTTTGGAAGGGGATTAAAAAGCAACCAAAGAGGTCAGCATTTTGGAAACTTAAGGCACTTATTTGATCTTTTAAAATGGGTCCTGATCCTGCCATACAATGAGCTTGTTTCTTGACAAGCCTGAAGCAGATTTAAAGCCAATGAAAATTCTAGAATCCTATTTACATACATGGTAGCACTAAAGTTAGATTGAGGCATCCCATGTAGTAAGGACTTGGTTAAGTGGGAAAGATAGAACAGGATGATTTGACTGTTGATCTGAGTTCCTGTAAATAGGAAGGGGAGACAAAGGGAAGACAAACCCAGCCCTGGATAACTGTTAAGCATATACTTAGGTACCCTTATCTCTTTCACTGCCAAACTCAACTTTAAATTTTTGTATTTACATTTTTCCTTTATAACAATTTTATTAAAATGCATTAAAAGTGTTTAAAACTGGCATTTTTTCTATTTACCTAATTATAGGCAAATAATTTGCTTATATTTCTTACTGCTGTTTAGTATTCAATAAATCATTTTTAAAAGTTCATACTTAGTGTAGTAGTGAATTTTTAATCTCTTAATTCTCGTTCAGCATTTATTGAGCCTTAGTGTCTTGCCAGTTAAGCAATGGAAGAGGCTCCTTTGGGGGGGGGGGTGCTTAGGGTACCAATCCAGTCATATGCAGGTATTGTTGCAGTTCCAGCAATAGGCTCTTTCTCCACACTTCAGCTGGCAGAGTTCTCATAGCAGTAAGAGAAGGTGACGGGGGAAATAATGAAAAAGAAGAAGTGTGCAGAAATGGCTCACTCTGTGTGTTCTCTGTTATCTTTCAGTTGAAGAAGGTGCTAGTAGAAAACCAACAGTTGAAAAATGCTGTAAGTGTTGGTCTTCTGTAAACTAATGTAAGACGTAGTGCTTATGTTCTCTTGTTGAAACTAAACCTGTATAACTGAACAGAAACAAACATACAACCTTAGCCCCATCTTCTATGACTTCCATCCTCCTCTTGTTGTTACTTTATTCTATAATAAAATGAGCAGAGACCATAGTGGGGGAAGAATGTAACAATATATAATTTGCACACATTATAAAAAGCACAGAGATGTGGTTAAAACAATGCAATACATCTAACTCATAATCTTTATTGTTTCTGTTTCTTTGTGTTTCTATTTTGTTTGTACACACACACACACACACACACACACACACACACACACATTCATTCATTCTTTGGATCAAGCAGGAATGATCAGGTCTTTGTTTCTAATCCAAGGAATAAATGAACTTCCTTCCTCAGTAAGGGCTCCTTCTTAAACTCTTGTTTCTTACACTGAAATTGGTTGGAAATGAAACTAACTTCCTTTCTGGAAAGAAGCTAAATTCCTTTGTGTATCTCAAACTTTTCTTCTTTTCTGATCATGGCGATGGCTTGATTTTTTGTTCAACTATATTTACTACAACCACCTATGCTATGAAAATAAGAAGCAGTTGCTTCCCTTTCTGTAGGTGGGTCTTTGAAGACCTGTGTTATACCCTTCAAATTGACGCCTCCTGATACTTCAGACTTATCTGAAAGGTTTACCACAGGGCAAAAAAAAAAGCAAGGGAGGGAGGGAGATGTATCATTATTCCCTTGACTTGGGTTATAGAAGAGAAAGCTAGCAGAAGAGGAAAAGCAGGAAGAGAAAGAGCAGGAAGAAGAAGAAGAGAAGGAGGAAACAACCCACTCTCCTAGGATCTTAGCTCAAAGGACTTTTTAAAGATAACGAGGGGAAATCCTATGTACATTATTTCGAGTCCCTACAGAAAAAGCAGGATATAATTGCAATAGTACATATATATACACACACATACATATACATACATACATACTACATACATGCATTCATACATCCATACATATATGTGAGAGACAATAAGTAGGATTATTGAATGTATTGTTTTTGTTTATTTTATTCTGTCAGTTTGGCAAGCCAAGATCCAAATTGAGTGGAGTGGTTGAGTAGGTTGTATATTACTAGTTGGACTATTGTCAGAGATGGCAATGTCCAGTATAACAGGAAAAGCCATCTGGATGAAACTTCTGTGTCTCTTTTATAGGTTGTCTTCCTGAAGCAGCAGAATAAGGGTAAAGCTTTTCTCTAATTTGATTCCATGAAAAAGACATCTCTTTTTTTCAAGAGTTCGTAATACAGCCAACCTTATAATCAGCTAAATGTTTTAGATGCAGTTTTATTGTATTTCAAGTAAATGACCATTGACTACACTGGACAACTTAGAAATTAGTTCCAAGCATTAGTGGGCCAAGTATTTAAATGTATCTTCATGGATATTGGCCAAACCAGGTTGACCCTTCATTATATTATTATTTAGTACTTGTCCACTTCTTGTTGGGATCTTCATTATGGCAACTATTGCCAACAATATGCTTGTGAACTCCTCACACTCCCACTTTGGCCTTCCACAGGTTTTTCCACATTCTATTTTTTTATTATTATTTTAAAGTATCATTTTGCTTGCAAAGAAAAATATTAGAAAAGAATCTGGCATGCTGCAAAACACCACCCTCTCCATAATAAATTTTATTTCCACAACTTAAAATGAGAACTAAGAACCACTACTTTTTAGAAAATAAAAATGAATAGATTGATGCAATCTAGTGCTGCTGTTAAGAAACAGATGCTTTCACCAAAAATAAAAAAAAAGAGGTAAGACAAGATTGGTAGTGAATATCACAGAGATGCCCAATAAGGTGGCAGGGTATAGCCTTGCAGTCTGTTTCAGGTAAACTAGTGTTTTGTGTTTGGCTTTACCCATTAGGACAGCCAATTTATGAAAATATACTTTTTCCCCCACCCCACCCAAAAAAACTGGAAAAATCTTATTTAGGGAAATCAGATATCTTCTTTTTCATTTCCTTTGATGAAAACTCAAAAGCAATGCAATTTACACAAAGCCATAAGATTTGATTGATGGAGTTTTTTTCCTTTCCAGAAAAAGATAACAGTGTGGATGACTGCAAGAGGTCAGTGTCAGTAGCAAATCTACAAATGAAGAGGTGAATCTCTGAGAAACAGCAGACACCAAGTATTCTTTTTCCCTTCTCTCTTTTTTTTTAAGGTCCAAGGATAAACTTGTCTCTGAAATTGGGACTCTCTTGACTGAAATTGCATTTCTCAAGGAAGTACGAGAACAACTGGTGAGCTTTTTGAATCAAGATGCCCATATGTCTTGAATTTATTCCTTGTCTTGTTCATTTATGCCTCATGTTTGTAAAATATATTGGGAGAATCCAGGGATGACACAATTATACCACTAACCCCATCTATATTGTTCCTTAAAGGATCTGATTCCAAGACAGATGCTCTAAATCAGAGATGGGGAACTATGGCCCCTTTATGACTTGAGGACTTCAACTCCCAACATTCCCTGAACCAGCATGAGAGTTGAATTTCACAAATCATAAAAGAGCCATAGTTCCTCACCTATGCTCTAAACCGGGGGTTCCCAATCCCCAGTCCGTGGGCCAGTACCGGGCCGCAGCATGCCAGCAACCAGACCACACAAGCAAGCAAAGCCCCATTCACGGGATGCAGGCAGCACACAAAACCACAAAGCCTCCAAGCCGCGGAAAAACCTCTCTCAATGGAACCAGTCGCTGATGCCTAAAAGGTTGGGCATCTGCTCTAAACTATTAATTGCATCTACGTTTTCTGCTTCAATAAGTGATGTGGCTCACATAAATCAAACTTTCTTTGTCTCCCACTTAACATAACTGCTCCAAACTCTCTTTCTTTGTCCCAGAGCATTATACAACCCCCCCCCCCCAATGGAGCATAAACATTGAGAACATTTCATGCAAAGAAATCATAGTTTTGCTGTCTGGCACACAGATCAGCTTCCCTCCCTCCCCTTTTGCAAACGCAGAAATCTTTTTGTTTTGTTTGTTTGCTTGGATTTTGCATCTCTGCTTCAGGAGCAACTCACAAACACATTTCTCTTGTCCTTTCCTTTTGGGTTGTGATAGGTGATTCCTTCAAATATCCCAGACTTGATCTCAGTGGATTGAGTGTATTCTGGAAGAACAATGAGGCCTGAGCTGAGGAATATGCTCTCAGTGGAGGAAAGCTTGCAGGCTCAGCAGAAGGAAGGATTTATTACTATAGAAAGACCCAGAGGGACATATACTGTACAAACAGATACTGCAGATACACATATTCTAGCCCAAGGAGAAAAGAAATTACAGAAAATCCCACTTTCCTCCAACCAACCTTTCCCATTTTTAAATTCTCATACCACATGATACTATTAGTCTTTTTTGAATCCCAGGGTCCATTTTTCACTACTTCCCTATTGTATTCCATATTGCTTGGTGCCAGTTACTCCCCCAAATCCCTTATTCTGATGCTCAGTTTAAGCACAGTTAATATACCAGGGGATTGTCTCCTCATCAGCATCAAAGAAATGATATGAAACAAAATATAATAGACAAAAAAATCAGTACCTGCCAGGTACACCACTTTGTATCAGGTTTAGGGAGGTGTAAAATGGATGATGCAGCTTTTGACCAGAAAGTTCATAATTTAAAAAGAATCCACTCCTCAAATTCCTCTCCTCTCCAAAGCAATTATTGGATTACCGCCAATCTAACAGGAACCTTGATTTTGGAGGATTTGTTTTAATCCCCCATAAATTTCAGTCATTAATTAAAGTATTTAGCCCAAACCTAGGTGAAATACTGGGTAGTCGGTGATGATCAAGTGGATTCAGCATGGTTATGAGGACACAGATGTCTGCCATAAAGCTAAATGTTTCTTGCCTGTGTGGAAAGTGTCCAGTATAAACTCCCCATATCAGCCGTGTTGGTATAATGGTTAGAATGCTGTCCTGCCCATTGTCAGGAGTTTGATCTTGACCAGCTCAAGATTGACTCAGCCTAGCATCCTTCCAAGGACCCAGATTGTTGGGGGTAATATGCTGAGTCTGTAAACCGCTTAGAGAGTGTGGTAAAGCACTATGATGTGATATATAAGTCTAAGTGCTATTGCTATTTGCTTAATAAATTTGTTTTGGATTTGAAAGGGAAGAAAGCATCACACTTAGTTATGATGGGAGCTGTTTCTGCAGAATTAAGAGGGATGAAGAATTTGTGAACAAAGGATCATCTCCTGAGTTGTTTGCTCTTATGTTTCTTCTCAGAGATTTAAGGACCCTGAATCCAGGAAAGAAACTACTAAGGCTCTTACTGAAACCATCCAGGCCAAGCTGGAAGTAGCTCATGCTAAAATAGAGGCTGCAGAGGCTAAGAAAGAAACCTTAGAAGCTCAGAAGATAGCTGAAGAAGCTAAAGAATCAGCGGAAGCAGCTCAGGCTCGGGAGGACAACCTACTGTCCTATGTCTCCAAAGTTGCCAGTTTGGCCTACCAGCAAGCTGCAGAGGCAGAATATGATTGTGCCCAAGCTCGGAAAGCCATGGCAGTAGCAGAGGCCGTTCAAGTGGCTGCCTTCACTGATGGCAGAGTTCGCCGGAACAACAAGGAAAAGTATCCTCGAAGCCATCGGAGTCATGGGGAATGCCGGTGTCATCATCATCACCACCACCACCATCATCATGGCCAACATGAGCGCCACAGTGATTATGAGACCCAAAGTGATCTCATCCACTCTGAACCAGAGACTCTGAGTAGCACCCGATAAAGCAGGGAAGAAGGAAGCAGGGCTGGGTGGGATGGCTTGATAGTTAATGTCATTTGAGGAAGCGTGCAGAATTAAATTTTTTGTTTGAACCATGAATAACTGATTCATTTCATAGGTATGTTTAGGACAAGGTTTAGGGGAGACCTGATAGCAGTCTTCCAATACTTGAAGGGCAGTCACAAGGAAGAGGGTGTCGATTTATTCTCCAAAGCACCTGAGGGCAGAACAAGAAGCAATGGTGGAGCTTGTCAGAGGGAGATGCAACCTGGAAATAAGGAGGAATTTCCTGACAGAACAATTAAGCAGTGGAATAGCTTGCCTCCCAGAGTTGTGGGTGCTCCATTGCTGGAAGTTTTCAAGAAAGGATTTAACAACCATTTGTCCAGGATGCTATAAGGGCTCCTGCCTGGATAGGAGGTTGGACTAGAATACCTACCTTCATGGTCCCTTCCATCCATGTGATTTTATGATTTTAGCTTGTAGCCTTTCCCCACTTCCCACAGTTTGCATCAGTGCTTCTATTTTTCAGATTTTATAATGAACATATAGAGATCAAGTAGCCATGCTCCCTCCCCATGTCTGTATGTAATGGTTTTATAAATATGTATTATATTATTATTTATTTAAATGTATTGGCCACCTAACTGGGGTGGATTTCAGTAGCCTACATGAAATGACTTGATTCGTCACTAGCTCATGTTCAATTTTTTAAAAAAAAGAATAATATAAATAATTTTTAAAACAATTCAGAGTTTAAAAACATGCAAGAAAGCTGTTCCAAACTGCGATAGTATGAAACAAACATTGAGACAGTAGAAATCCACAATTCTGTGTTGTAAGACAAAACGTTTTTAAAAATGCAAAACTTATCCTATGAATATTTCCAAACTTTTAGCCTCCCTGGGGGACAAAGGTTGCAAAAATGTTTATAAAACCCAAGGCCCTGTTTTGCTCTGCATTTCATGAATGCATCAGTTGTTTATCTTAACAAAAGGCTACAACTTCCAGACAAAGAGCGCGCAGTCCCCTTCTCTAATCAAGACCAGTTATCTTAAAAAACAAGCTCAATTCTTAGTTTGTGCTTCAGGGGATGGGTTGATGATGCAGTTTGTTTGTGCCAACACCTGCAACAATTGCTTCAGTTAAACAAGGCTTCTGCCTCCAGATCTGAAGGAGCAGAGAATGAAAACTTGCATCTTGAAAACTTTTTAATTTAGTGAATGTGCAGCAGGTGGGAATGTTCAGGAGAAAAATATTTTGAAAGCAAAATTAGGCCTTAGAAGTTCAATCACTAGCAAACGACTACCAAGAAGTGGAGGAGAAGGAACTGGTGCACAGAAGTGTCTCTTCTCCTCTTGCTTCTTTTCCTGTACAAACTCAATTCACTTTCCTTGCACTGGACATCTTGGTTGTTCTATAGAAAGGTTAGGGATATGGTCTCTGCATATCACTCAGTTTTAAAGTGTTTTCTTAACCTGTTGAAAGAAAGAATCAACTTGAGAAAAACAGAAATAATTTGGAAGAAGATCAAATGGAACACAACTAATGGTTAAGGAAAACCCCAAACTTCCAGATTATGGAACTCATTGAGAAAAATCTTGAAACTTAGAGCAGATAGCTAACAAAAATAGATTTCAGAGTCCAGTGTTAGAAAGCGTCATGCAAATTATGATTAGAAAGAACATAAGCAAGGAGTTCTTAAATTTTGAAACATCCTGGAAATCAGAAACATTAGGAGAGCCTTGAGGTAAAACACAACTATTGTCCATTATTTGCTATAAGGGATTGCTGGAGTTAAAGTGAAAAACCACAGATTATTTCTAGAAATGCAACACACAATTACCTCCCAAATTATATTTTTAAAACAATCTTCTTCAGTTTGAAAAGAAATACTTTATTCATTGAGTTAACCAGTTCGTTTAATAAACTTCTGTTCATAATTTTGTATCAAATAGTGATACTAGAGTGAGGCCTAAGTCACCATGCTGCTGAGTTTCTATACAAGAGTATTTTTTTAAGTTTGAATTCCCCACCAGCCATGCTAATCTGCACATCACATCTACATGTCTTCAAGCCACCAAGCTGTAGAGTGCACTGTTGGCAGCAGATACAATTTTTATAGTATAACTAGATCTTGAACAATGCAACAGAGAGTTTAAAACATCTAAGCTTCAACATTTTAAGAAAGGAAGAGTAAAATAACTCTGTATATTCTGTAATGGTAGAATAACTCTCTTAGTTACGCATGTCTAAGGCTGACTTTTGCAAATATTTTGCAAGGGTTGAATAGGCTTTTCTGTTTCACAATTTCAAGTTGTCTATTACCACTTTCTGTTTTATAACCTACTTTGAAAGATTTGGAAAGAAGGGTTGTATAAAAATGTGTCTGAGGAATCACTGATGAATCCACATTGAGATTACTTGAATGCTTGTGATTGTTTTTTAAAAAGTGGGTGTTCAAGTGTGTGTGAGAGAGTTTGTTATTAAATGTTAGGTTTATCCCTGTTCTAGATTCAGTATAATTCTGCAGTCTATGGAAAATGACTTCTGGGGGCCCATTTCCACTGGCCACTGACAGTTTTGAGCTCATGTATACTGCCATTGTACCACAAATATCATGCAATTCCCAATATATGCTCTATCAGCATGAACTATCATCTTTTTCCCTGACAAAAGAATTGTACATTTCAGCATGTACATAAACACCAAGAGCTCTATTCCTGTCTTTTATAATTACAGTACAGCTCTTATTGTTATGCTAAGTACTATACTCTTTCATATGTAGGCCCTCTCCTATCCTATATAGCTTTGTAAAAGGAAGAAACTTTTTTTGTTATGCAACACAGAGAAATACAGAACATCTCAAATATTTTTATTATTCAGAATGCAATAATCATCAGCTTGCTAAGCAAACAGGTTATTATGTCTGTAGCTGCTCCACTTCTCCCTGTATAGCGTATCTTCAGCTCCAGAGCTGTCCCGCTGGTTTAAGGGCTGCATCACACATAGCTTGCAATAATATGTTCAGCAACCTTTGATATTCAAATTCTATGTAATGAATGGAAGCCTTAAATGGCTTGGCTTCTTGTAACTTTGTTGTATACATTAAGAAAAGTGGAGGATATAAGTTGGAAAAGGATGAAATGGCACCTCCCCCCCCCCCCGTAGCATTATAGGTGGGATAGAAAAATTACAGTAGTTTCTACTGTAGCACCTGAGACATATAAAGGCAGAAGTTGGGCTGTTCCTTTTTGATAGCATTGGCAATAAGAAAGCACAGTATCTGCTATTCTAACAACCTCTGAGATCTCATAGTTTCTTCTCCAGTAAGTCCTTTGTTCACTCTTTGGTTGTCAAATTTGTCCTATCACTGTCTCAAGCACTTCACTCCAGCATCCTCAGCATGCCCACAGTTTGTTTTTCCCCAGCTGGAAAAGCTACATTGGAGAAGACTATCTTCTGTTCCCTTGCAGGCCACATCATCCATCCAAATCCGTCCTTTCCCTGGGAGAAGAATTGAATAGAATCATTAGGTTGCAATGGTCAATAATCTTTCATTTTTGCATCAAATTGCAATAGCTATGAGAACATTCACACTTTGCAAAACCTAAATCTGTGTTTCTCAACCTTGGCAACTTTAAGACATTTGGACTTCAATTCCCCAAATTCTCCAGCCAGCCATCATTTTCTATTCATTCTGTTAGGAGATCAGACATTCTATCATCTATCTGTCTACAGTGTCCATCTATAGTGTTTATCTGTAGTATCTATCTATTTGACTTGGCATTCAAAGTTAGAGCATTCTAGGATGTTTCATGATTGGGCAGCTACTTTTATAACTATCCAAGTTCAATATAAAAGTAGGAGGAACTATACCCATTCCCAGACTCCCAGCACCCAGATAGAGGGGGAGTGAGAGGATTGATAAGATTGTATGGGATCAGTGAAGAACATTTTGTCCCCTTGTCTCCTGCTACAGTTACAGATAGCAAAGCTCAACTTGTATAACACTCTCCTTGTTTTGCAAAATAAAAAATATTGATTGTTTTGAAATATACTCTGCAAATGGAGATTTTGGCAGGTTTAGAATAAAGAATTTTGCCATATAAAGCCTGACTGCTCTGAGAGATACACCTTGAGCTTTACATGGATTCCTTATATACATAAAGACATTGGTGTTCTGGTATACCAATTGGTGTTCAAATCAATAGTTTGATAGTTTCAGTTGCCGTGGGAAAGTAATTTGGCAGCTGCTTTCACCTATTTCTCTTTGCCTGACATGCCATTGGAAGAGAAATATCCCATATAGAGTGAAGCAGTGCCATTTTGTGTAACCCATGAATTATGATGCAGCCATCCATCTGTCTAGACTAGAGTGTCCATCTAGAGTGTTTATCTACAGTATCTATCTATCTATTTGACTTGGCATTCCAAGTTAGAGCATTCTGGAGTGTTTCATGATTGGGCAGCTATTTTTATATTTAACTTGGATATTTTATTTTATTCTGGTTTTAATTTTAAAGCCTTTTGTAAATTGCCTAGAGTTATACTGAGTGGTATAAAAATATTATCTTTCTTTCATTTGTTATTTCATATATTCTATTCCTTTTAGGAATAATCTGCCAAATACACATTTTGTTTTTACTAAGATAAGGAAGGATTAGACTAAATTACCAACCTTGACTACCCCCATACCAAATGCAGCATTCTTTGCTAATGATTCGGACAATGTCAGTCAGTTTGGCACATTTTGATCAGTCTGCCATAAACTTAATCAAACCAAATTTGACCCCAGTCATGCTTACACCATTCTATGCAAGCTATGTATCTAATCTAGAGATTTACAAGTCAACATACTGTTCTATGTATCTCAACAGCTTGGAGATACAAGCAATGTATCCTGACCTATACTCAGGATGCACAAGTTCGCCCAACTCAATGATACCATTTGTAAGCATTTTTAAGGCTGCCATCATGTAAATAATAACAACCTAATCAACTGCGAGTAGATAAATAGGCACCACTTCAGAAGCAATTTAATGGGGATATGATAGGAGCACCCC